AAAAGTTGCTACCTTTTGAGACAAGAAGAGATATCTACCAATTATTCATTGTACCCCACTTTGATTATTGCTCAGAAGTATGGCACTTCTGTAGTAAAACTTTGACAGACAAGTTGGAGAAAGTAAACGAGCGTGCAATCCGCTTTGTTTATCAAGACAAGAGAACTTCATACACAGATTTGCTTAAACGACTTGGATCTACTACTCTATGCGAAAAGAGACTCGGAAAGATTGTAACAACTGTCTTCAAGGCCATCCACAAAGAAAACAGCCCTTAATCAATAAGGGATCTACTACAGCTCAGAAACGTATCATATAATTTACGAGGCACGAACATTTTGAAACAACCCAAWATAAAYTCGACRAAGCAAKGGCTGAAATCTTGGAGATACACTGCTCCAAAAATATGGAACAGCTTGCCAGACTTTATGAGAAGTGAACTTAATGTTAACAGTTTTGGAAAACAGTTAAGGAATATTGAACTACGTAATACTTTTTAGAGACCTTTTTAATTGACTTGTTCTAATAAAGTAATAAATATTTTGTAAATAAATTCTCATTATCACTATATTTACTAAGTATTTTAGACATGTAGATATCTAAATTTTTATATTGTATACAGCTGTTTGCAATAATTCTGAGCCCCTCTGCCATATTTCATATATATCAAACTGACCTTAAATATTATGGGATATCATGACTGATATATTTTTTGAGTTGTCCAGAATGAGTACTTTCTAAAAAAATATATCAGCAATGGTATCCCATAATTTCTAAGGCTATTTTGATATATATGAATATTAGTGTAGGGGGGTCAGAATTATTGCAAACAGCTGTATACTATATATTTATATTTATACTTATACCTATCTTTTATTATTTGTTTTTGTATTTTTGATTTGTGGCAATACCTGTAAATTAGCAATATTTTTATAATAGAGCTAAGTGTATTTTGACCACGTTAAATAAAGTTAAAAAAAAATAGTTATGCTAGAAACAATAGGTGTGAATGAAAAAAAATTACAAAGGAGAGTATACTATTAATTAAAACTGCATAGGTGTGAATACAATAGGCTGTAGAGGTGTCAAGTGTTCTTCAGGTAGAATTTGTTTTCGTGTCGGCATTTAGAGATGAGTTCTGATCTTTTGTTTAGTATATTGTCGTTACTGTGTTTAATTATCATAAGTTTTTCTGTAAGGCAGAGGTCGCATCGTTTGGATATGTTGTTGTAGGGTCTTGCACGGCTGATAATTGTCCATTTGATGTTGAAGTCTTGTTTTTTGTCTTTTAGTTGCCAGATGTACTTAGAAAGTTCGGTGCTGTTGATGTGTTTTCTGTGTTTAAATGTAGATTTGTGCTGCGAGAATCTTTGTTTGAATGTTCCTTCTGTCAGTCCGATGTAGTTCTTGGTNCAATAGCCGACTTTAGATATTTTGGTTCAGTGACCATGCACAAAAGAATTGCAGACGAGGCTCCGGGGAAATAAAGAATAAATCAAGATTATCCATTGATAATTTTATTTTTTTTAATATTGCAAAGAGTTATTTTGAAGTGCACGCTTCAAAATGACCAATCAAAGAGCGTATAATATCGTTTTATTCTTTATTTCCCCGGAGCCTCGTCTGCAATTCTTTTGTGCATGGTCACTGAACCAAAATATCTAAAGTCGGCTATTGATCAACTGATTCAAATCATTTTAAAAATTCGTTATTGACTCTTTCTTTTAATTGCTGTCTTCTTACTGACTGAATATTTTTTCTAGCAACGACTTTGTTAAGGTTTTTGACAAATCTGACAAAGTGTTATCAAGTGCTGTTTGTGGTCAAAAAAGTCCCTTTGCAGTTGTTAATTCTGCTCCAMKGACAACTTTCATCTCGCTTAAGTCAGATGGAGGCTTGGAGAAGAGTGGATTTCAAGCTGGTTACTTTTTTCTAAGTGACAAAGATAGAGGTAAATTGTGAATGAAGTTTTGATATTGTATTGTAMATTCAATCTCACTTCTTATCATGACGCCAATTCATTGTATGGTGTACAAGCTCGTCAAGTATAGTCTGTTCGGTGATGCGCAACCACTTCGAGCCTTTTTTTAATTTTCGTGTTAGTTTGGCTATAAAACTTCTAGGCCATTATAAGGCTATTCAGACACACGCCAAAAAAATCCCAAAGGCTTCGAAAATCGTGTTTTATATTTGCAATTCTAATTACAGCTATCTTGCATATTGAATGGTATTTAGATATTTATTTTAAGTATATATTATTCCGCAGTCATCCAACTAAAACAGAACAGCAAAAATTCCACAGCAGCCTCACTGTTTTGGAGTTACCCTTCGTCCAGTTCAATCGATACGTTTTATGTTTTATGCAAACAAGATCAAGTAAACGAAAACTGGAAAGTCGTTAAAACAGCAGCGTTAGCTGCAACCATCGATGGCCTTCTTCCTTCTACACCATATATAGCCAAAGTCATTGGAAATAGCAGTGATGCAGTTTTTTGGAGTAGTCCAGTTCAGTTTGTAACATCACATCGTAAGTTTCTTGATTTGGATTGCGTTCTCATATTTTCTTTTTTTACATCTTATTGTCATTTTTAAACTATTTAAAGTTTAGACTAAAATCTGTACTCTTTTGCATTCATCATCTTCTCTTTCCAATTCTGGAGATTTGTTTAGTGATAAATGATCCCAAGTGATACATTTACTAACAAAATGATCACGAGTGCAGAAAACACCAAGCTAATTGTCTTTCTTTGAAAACACGCCAACAATGAACTGCTATTTGATAACTCACTTTTATGTGTATCTACAATCTAATGTGGTTTACGTTTAACATTGATACCGTTATGGACAGGGTAAGAAACATAAACGAAGAACAAGAAAAACGGTCATTGTTTTTCCTTTTTKTATGTCAATCAAATAGTACCAACGACTCCGCCTCCAGAAGAAAAAACTTCAACGAAACCTACAGGTCAAAAAAATACTTAGAAATGTTAAAAATAAAGTGCAAATGAAGCTTTGACATTGGAAAAATACTTTTTACAGAGCCTGTGAAGCTCATGTATAGCTATGGTACCAGTGAAGGAGACTCTATAATACCCAATAATTGGGAGTATCGGTATAAATGTTACAAGATTGATTTTAATGAAGATGGCTTTCTCTTCATGACCAAGAGGCACTATCAAATATATGTAAGTCA